TTAACCTTTAAATGTGACATACAATGTATCTTAATTTTATTTCCTGTATTTTCACAGTAAACCATAGGCAATTTTAAATTATAACTTGTATAATAGAGTATGTTATTTATGGAGATACCCTGAACATCCTTTAGCAAATTGGTCATTCTATTAAGCATCAGAATGTGAATTTGAAAAGAGATTAACATTTATATTAAAACCATTATATTTAACTCTATTAAATCACTGCTACTTTTTAATCAATATTAATTGATTCATATTTCGTCCTCTCTCAGTAGCCCAATTTTCCCCTTAGTAACCTTAATTTTTTCTCTCTCTCAAATTGGTACAACTATCCATTTCTATTTGTTTAGTCCCTGAGGCTGTGGGACAATTTCTATTGAATATTTGGATATATAATATTTAATCAGTTGGTTTGAACAAAAGTTTTGATTCAATACAAAGGTCATAGATTTTTTTCTTAAAAAGTAACTTTCTCTGGCCTTTAGTTTCCAACCACTTGTTTTTCTTCAGGTAATTCACATATCCTTTCTGGACTTCAGCTTTCTTCACTAAAAAATAAAGAAATACATGCATGATCTTTAAGTGTCCGTATAGTTTTAAAATCCAATGGTTCTTTATAAACCACTCACTTTTATCCTCATGTGGAAGATTTTACTTAAGGAAATATTCTGATAAAATATTAACTCATATTTCTGTAATACTACAATATACTGGTCATGATAGATACACATAGTGATTAAATAAACCTTCCCAACAAATCTTTCACCTTTATTTTGCAGGTAGTTGAGGATAAAATTGCTGCCTCTGGTAACACCATTAATTGATGCTATCCCAGGTAAAACCAGGACTGATCTTATTTCTAAGCCTGAGTTCATGTTTCACACCTCCTCTCCCAGGCAGTCACTGATTTATAGAAAATGAAATTTGGGGGGGTCCTAAAATGTAACATCACTGATAGAGAGAAAACACAAAAATTGGTGACTTGCAGAAAATGAGGATAAATTTTAATTATACTGAATGGTCATTGCTTCCTTGGCCACTTTGACTCTAGTTAGTTAAGAAACTAAAAGCAAGTGAGTGGTTAAATGTTTCACTTTGTCTTTTTAAAACAACAACAACAACTACAATGATAAACTTACCCATTGCATTGCATGATTCCCCAGAAGAATGGTTTATTAAGAAAAACAGAATTTGTTCCTAAGTCTTTAAAAATGGGGATTTCTCTAATATAACCAGTTGGTATGGCATCTTATTTGTTGCCCTGTTATGTACATTTTCTTGTGTATATTAAGAATTTTGTTTATTGCTGATCCATTTGAAATGAAACATGAAAGTCTACATGGAAAAGTAATATAATACCAAATTTTCAAATGGCTACTTAACCAATATTCTCGATCTTTGAATTTTAAAAAAAGGAATGATTGACATAAAAGCAAGTTTATGCAAATATGCATATAAGCATAAGCACAATAACAACAATAAGTATATGCATCAACATACATCTATTTTATAGAGATAAATGTGTATGTGTTTGCATGTTTATACTGTAATAGTTTCGTAGCTGAAGTGGAAATAAAGTAAAATTATTCAACATAAATTTATTGCAGCTAACCATCTGTGATGAAATTCTCTTGAATCTCTTCAAATTTTTTACAAATGAGGAAAATGAAATACTAAAATTACAAACACACCATATATTTATAAACTATCCTTTTACATAAGCCGTGATTCCAAGCTTCCATCTGCTTACGTGCTGAGTGATACAGAGCATTTGCTTCAACTGTGGCCCTTTCGGTCTTTCTTCATTTTCTGAATTAGCCCCTGCACTGCAGAGGCCCTGATAACATGCCTCTGTGCTCTGTCGCCTTGTTCTGCAATAAATCATCAGAGGCAACAACATTTGTTTACGCCTATTTAAAAGGGGCCTCCTGGGAAACACTGTTAGAAGAAAAAATAGGGTCTAATTTTTAAAACTTCATCTCTTACTTCCACAAACACCCTTTTTTCCTTTTGGGTTTTTCAAAGGTACCTCCCTACATATAAATTGGTTTTTGAGAATTAAGACATACCACAACCAAATTAGTGATAAACCCACATCTTAATTTCTTAAGATCAGAGAGAACAATAAACAGCCAGTGACTATTTATATGATAAATTTCTTTGCTCAGACATATTGTCCTATCCATTAACTGAAAGCTGAAGAATATTTGTTCCATTTCTCATTCGTTTTACTCATAAAAATATTATTCCAATCAATTTTGCACAGAAAAGCCACATTCCTCTATGTGATAAAGAAATCTGAATTTTAAACATATACATAAAATTGTAACTAAAATCATGTTTTATGTGTTGCTTTTTAAAATACCATTTACATCTTAAGTAACAGTAGGTAAGACATCAGTAAACGTTATGTTCTGATTCACCATATCAATAATGTTTTCTCCTTTAGCCCTAAAATATGGAATTATAGAATGAAATTTAGGAATTATCTAGGTTAACCATATCATTTTGAAGTTGAGGAGCTGGTCTTTAAAGAGTTACAGGACGTGTTGAAAGTTCTTTGGAAAATTAACATTAAAACCTTTGAAAGTGTATTTGTTCTGTGTTTTCTTGCAGTTTTGGATGCTTTTTAATATTTGTTCTAAATAGTTATACATGATAGTAGAAGGAATTTTGACATATATGTATGGAGTATAACTTCTCATTCTTTTGGTTGTACATGATGCAGAATTACATTGATCGTTTGATCATATATACACATAGGATAGCAATGTCCAAACTCATTCAACTATCTTTCATATTCCCATTCCCCCTCCCTTCCCTTCATTCCCTTTAGTCTAATCCAAAGTACTTCTATTCTTTTCTACACACCCTCCTCCTTTATTTTGAATTAGTATGCTTGTATCAGAGAAAACATTCGGCCTTTGGTTTTCTGGGATTAGTTTATTTCACTTAGCATGATAATCACCAGTTCCACCCATTTACTGGCAAATGCCATAATTTCATTCTTCTTTATGGCTGTTTTGAGTCTTTGGTTGAACCCAGGTACCACATTAAATAGTCACAATCGGCATCTGGCATAGAGTCCATATGCTAAAGGCTAAACCTTCTTTATAGAGCTAAATTTGAGATAAAAGAAAGACAGATGAAAAATATCCAAGAGACCAGATGAAAATAAAAAAGTGAATGAAACAAGGAAAACATTTCAATGTCCTGAACTATCTAAAATTTAAATTTAACTCAACAATTCAGGATTTCCTGAGACCTGGGAGACCAAATGGTATAGTGAAAAGACGTTTTTAAAGCCTGACCTGTTTTAGAATGCTTGCTGTGGCAATGGGAACTTAGAGTGATTTTGTCATCAGAAATGGTAAATTTGGTGAGATGCTCAGCAACTGCTTGTCCACTGATCAGAGTTCTCTTGCCCACTGGAGCCGTCTTCTACACATGTGACTTGGACAGACACACTCTGACTAGGCCAGTCAGGAAGACCTTAGCTGGGGCTGGGGTGTAGCTCAGTGGTACAGCATTTGCCTAGCCTGTGTGAGACCCTGGGTTCCATGCCTAGCACTGACCATAAATATAACAATAAAAAACAAGACTTTCAAGCAGGATTAGGTGGCTGGGGTTTACAAATTTTCATAAGTAGAAAAGAATTCACAGTAAAATAATTGATTGAAGCTAATATCCTTGTATAGCCAATAAACTCCCACTATCTTTTGAAAATAAAATTCCAGTAAATAAGTCTTGTAGCAAGAATGAGGATAAGCAAAACACAAAACATAAGACAGACAGGCCTGCGTCCTCTCTACCCCTTCTTTATTCCAAAGCTTTTTTCTGTCTCCCCTCCAGAAACCCTGTTTTTGAATTTCCTTCTTGATGCTTTCTTTCCATATCAGAAATGTATTAATAGGTAAAATCTGTAACTAACATTTCTGGTTCCCATCCTGGGAACACATGGGGAAGAAACAAACAGGAATAACTAAGGCTCTTCATGGGCTTGGTGGGTTCCTAACAGGTGGCCCATTATCTGGTCCTCTGAGTAACTCTGCCAGTTAGATACCGTTATTTCAGTTTGTACAGATAGGAGAAGAGAAAGAAAATGCAACTACAGCAAACCAAGGTATGTGGGTGATTGCAAATACGGCTGGGGTAACAGAGGAGTGGGCATGTGGCATAGGAGAGCACATCCCATTCTTTGGATGTGGAACTCCAACCACAGCTCTGGAGTCGGGGTCTCTTTTGAAAACACCGCTGCTCATACCATTTGTCTGAAACTGACCTTTTGGCCTTCTTCCCATGCTGGCGACCCTAGCTGGGGAAAATCAGACCCTCATTCCTTCTAGCCTATTGTTTTTCAAAGGTGAGAATCAAAATTTAAGGAAGCTTCATGAAAATGGGGTCCTGATTAGAATAAGATGTATTCCATGCTTGTATGATTCTATCAAAATGAATTCTACTCTCACGTATAGATTAAAAAGAACCAACCAAATAAAAGAAAACTAAATTTATGAAAGTAGGTGTTCACTTACCAAATTACCACAGTCATTGATCCTGGAGTGCTCATCATCTTTCTTCTCTCTCTAACCACTTTTGATTCCTACACAGCCATTGTTCTGTTTTGAATGCTGCATTCCTTTTTCCCTCACACTGCTTTTTGATAGAGCAAGAGCAAAACTTTACAGCTGTGAGATCTCCTCACTGACTTCTTGGTGAAGACGGTTCCAGTGTGCAAATTGGGAAGTCAGATGTGCGCAGATTTATCCACAGACCTTCACCCCCCACCCCACCCTCTGCCACGTAAGTTCTTGTTGTTGGTACTATGAGGATATTAATTAGATTGTGATGAATTATTCCTTTTCTGCATGTGGAAATTGAAAGGAGTTTGAAAAACTACATTTGATTAGATCTCCATTTATAAAAATAGTCATATAATAGCGATTTAGTCACTGTGTAAACTTGGTAAAGTCAAAGAAAGCAGACTTTCAATCTGAGAATTAGGTTTCATCTACATTTTAATCAGACTTGACTTATAATACAACAATCTACGTTCAAAGAAAAACTTGATGAGACAAATTCATACCTAGCAACATTAAGAATTATTATTATTATTATTGAATTTTCATTCAACTCATGTCATTGTATTTGACTTCCAAGCTGGCAGTTTACAGAAATACTGACCTCACAGCCTGCTTCGTGAATTTCTCACAGAATAACAGAAGACTAGGTTGAATTCATTCACTAAAGGAGAAACATTTCTCATGGTACTTCGAGTGTTTTGGTGATAGAAACAATATTTTAAGTGACTGAAAGTAATTAGGAATAAATTGAGTCCTTTTCAAAAGATCATTATTATTAAGTACTTTGTAAAATACGAGTGTTTGGAAAAATAGCTTATTAACTTCTATGTTTTAGTGAGAAGAAAACACTGCAGACATTATTTCACCATAGAATGCTCTTGAATAATATAGGATTAAAAAGGCAAAACTGGGGTAGCCCACCACACCCTTTCCCTTCCTTCTTGTCTTCCTTCTTAATTTTTACGCTATCCACTGTGTCAGATTTGTGAAGAAATGTTTTGTACCCTTGGTGTATAGAAGACAAAAAGAAATTTCCTGATCCCATCATGGTTATAAAAGTTGTATTTTCTTCCTCATTTTTGGTAGCCAATTTATGTTGGGGGCTTATTTGTTCGAAGGGGGTTTGAGTATGTAGGAGAATAACAATTGGTACTAAAAATAAGTCAGTGTTTCCATTTTCCCTTTCTTTACGTTTTTTACAGTAACATGCAATTTGAATAATTATGCAATCGTAATTATACAATCAATTTGTTTTTAAACCACAGTTGGAGACAAATGAACTGAAATGATTTTTATGCTAACCTATGGTTCTTCTCTCTTGTTCACAAACTATCATGTCTTTGAGCCAGTAGTATAAATAGATTATTTACAAGCATTATGCACATCAATCTGATTCTACTATGATAACTTGTATGATACCAGAAAAAATCCATAGTCCTTAACCTCCATTCCCTCATTGGTAAATGGAAGGGACATGCAATTTGGAAGATTAAATGAGATTATCTATCAAGGCATTTATCATGGTGTCTATAAAAAGGAAGGACCAAGTTAATAAATTTTAATGTTAGCTCTGATTTTTTAACTGATTTGTCCCCAATATATGCAAAACACTGGACTAAGAGATTTTTGTTTCGTGTTTTTTGGTGCTATGGATTGAATAGAGGGCCTCACTCATGTTACACGTGTGCTGTACCACCATGCTACATCCCCAATCTCTGGGACTAAGTTTTAGTGTTACTTAAACATATGTAAAAGTAACTCTGAATTCAAGAAAATGAATTTGTTTAAATTACTCCAGTATAGAATTTGATTATAAAGATGTGAGTGATACTTTAAATATATACATTCACTTAGATGCTGTTAAGTCATCATGGAACACTATTCTAATAGTTTTACCATTGTTCAAAACTTTCTTAGGTCTTATGGAGAACTCTGGATGAAAATTCAGAGTCATATTTTTCAAAAGTATCATTGTTTTTATTCAAATAAAAATTTACCTCTTCTTTGAGGGGTGAGAAAAGTCAAATGGGATTCTTCATCTTATTTGGAAGACTTGGTGAATTATAAATAGCTATATAAATACAAAATGTCATGGAACACAGTATTGAAGGATGATGAATGTATTCATTATGAATGTAAATGTTAAAATTGGGTATAATGAGGATCCCTGGCTACTTGGAAGCTGAGATGGAAGGATCAAACATTTGAAGTCAACTTGGGCACCTTAGTGAGACATCTGCATTATATATATATATATAATATATATATAAATTTATGCCTCAGGCTCTTAAAAGAAATTATGAAAACCTCCCAGAACTTAGAGCTCTTGCGGCATTTTCCTGACATGTTTAGTCTGCAGAGTGCATAGCTGGTAGACAACATTCATTTGAGTATGTCACATTTGGTTGATAAAAAATACTCATTAATTCCCTGCATTTATCCTTTCCTGGCCATATCTAAAATTATCTTCAACCAACTAATTTTATCTAGATGTATCTTAGACTGCTAAATGATGCTCTTTTGTTTTTGTCTTTAAATTATATTCTCTTAATTTTGGGGTCAGAAATTTTGCTATGGCAAACCAACCAACCCTGAATGGGACTGGAATGTGGCAAATGAGTGACTTAGTACTACTCTTTCCCAAGACTGGTTTAAGGAAAGAGCTGACGTTGAAGTAAAGATTTCAAAAAAATAGGTTTAAGTTTATAGTTTGTAGAGTGTTGATGAGGTGACTGCACATGTTTCATATACCAAGTAGGTGGAGGAATAGATGTCACCGGATGGAACAGATGCCTAGGAAAATAGCCCAGAATTCAGCAGGTGGAACAATGTTCCCGGTGTGAGGCATGCTTGAACAGAAAAAGAATCCTGAATGGGCAGCTCCATTTAAATTCACCCTCAGGTCACTTGGTTGATTGAGAACCTGAGAGATAAGGTCCCATCACTTGTTGTTTCCTATTTGGAGAAATTGACTTTCCTTCACCAGTGTGTGCCGCCCAGGGCGTCCTCTTCATCTCTTTGTCAGATGTCATTTCAAGTTGATTTTTCTTTTTAACTTTAAAAGTTCAGCATGTCTCTTTTCTATTCTGTGACTGCATAATAATTATATTTTCTGGCTATGAATTTGAATGTGAAACTTCTTAATAAAAGCTGACTTATCTCTTCTTCCTGTGGTACTGATTTCCATGTGTCCCATCAATGTCCGCTGAGGCAATTTATCACAACTGGGAAATTAAGGATGGTGGATTAGCTGCTCAGCTAATCTGCACTTAAGGGAAGAGCTAAAGCACCACATGCCACATCTTCTGTCCCATTACCTGTCTGTATTCATCAGACACTTGGGAATGCATAGATACCAACTGATGGTCCAACATCAGCCCTTAAAAAGAAGTAGCAAAAGATATTTTGAAAAAATGAGAGGCTATATCATTTTTGCTGGAAGAAAGTGATCAATATTCTCTAATTTTTCCATCAAATAATTAGTAGCTTTATTGCAGATAGTCCTAGAGCAAGAGTGTACTTTGCAACATATCTAAATCCATTAGGCTATGAGAGAGGAGGGGACAGGGCCACAACATCAAAGATGCATTTTGAATTTAATGGGATACAAGTCAGGTGCTATGAAAATACTCAGCTTTAAGATTTGTCAGTGGCTAAGACTTATCAAGCTTTGTCAGTGAAATTATGTAAACTATCCTTAGTCATCTACTCTATAACTTAAAGACTTTTAGTAATTTCCTTCTTTAGCTTGCAAAAATGAAAGAATCTCTTGACAGTGCATGCATAATACTAGCCATGGTGTGTTTTGATTGACTTAGTGTAATTCTAATTCCAGAGCTTTAAGAAACACATTGTGGTATTGTTTTGTCTGGCAAATACACCTTCAAATGAAAATGTTTTTTAATTTAGAAAGGAAGGGGTTTAGAATCCAGAAGAATAAAATCAGAGATACACTAAATCCTTCTTATTCAATGTCACTTCTGTGCTTGTCACATTTTCAGATTTAACATTTCAGAATTTAAGAAGGTTTACATTAGATTCAAGGAAGATGCATTTTAAAGAGTCTATCTGTCGTCTAAACATCGATGTTTAGGTAATAATTGTTAATATCCCAACTTGGCTTCCATGAAATGAGTGGGACAGCCCTTCTCATAAATATAACTGCTACATTAAAAACATCTTCTATTCCAGGTTTATGAAGAGAAGGGAGAAATCAAGACCCCAGTAAGGGATATCAAGGCAGAAGAGTTCTGTTACCACAGCCCCAGAAGTAGCATCAGTACACCCATCAGAATGAATGTCATAGGCTGGGTCCCTGCCACACATCCTGCTCCAGTGGCGTCCAGAGTACTGCTGCTGCCGGTGTGATGGATTTGCTTTACATCCGTGAAGTTCGTGCCATCCGGCATCCCTGCAGGGGCAAAGAAGAAAGCAAAGGGTGATGCATAACTCCTTGCTGTGAGAGTCTGGAGCAGCTCTTAAACCCAGAGTGTGGGCACCATAGCTTTTACTGGCACTCTGTGCTGGTCTAACTCCGAAAGAGAATGTGGTGGGCTGATTTCGGACCTACTGCACTGGGTGGCAATTCCAGAAATGCCATGAGAGCAAACCAAAATACTTTCTTGCATTTTAAAGCTTTTGGGGCATTTTTCTTATATCACGTAATAGTAAGAAAGCAAAACAGTAGTAGTAGTTAGTAGTAGTAGTAGTAGTAGTAGTAGTAGTAACAATAATAATAAATATCCTGAGGTATAGTGTTATTGCTTGTCCCAGAGATGTACTACCTGTAAGTAACTGAAAAATTTTCTCATGAAAATAAAACCAAGTAAGAGAAAATACTTGGATAGGATTTTTTTAAAAGTAGAAGTTTCACTGACCATATTTGTATTAAAATAAATAGGGTCTACTAGACCCTAGTAGAATAATTGTCCATAGGATCTTTTGTAAATTTATTTTTATTTTTCATTAACAAATTACAACTGTATATATTTGTGGAATACAAAGTGATGCTATGATTTATCAATACAATGTGGAATAATTAAATCCAACTAATTAATATAGCCATGTTCCTGTTTTACAATGAAAACATTTGAAATTTACTTTTGTAGCAGTTTTGATATATACCTTATTATTAGCTATAGTTCCCAGTCTGTGCAATAGTTTCAAAAACTTTTTCTTCCTAACAGAAACTTCATTCCTTTTGACCAGCATCTCCCCATTCCTCTCTACTCAAAGCCCCTGGCAATCACCTTTCTATACTCTACTTTTATGAGTTTGACTGCTTTAGATTTCACACACAAGAGGGATCAGGCATAGAATCTTTATTGGAAATATATTAAAGAAAAATAAGAAAAAATGGTGAATTTATCCCTTTTATGCACATAGATGTGGAGATGGGGGCATAGACATCTGTCAATAGATCAAGAAAGTCATCAATAGGTAAATTGGAGACTGAGGTTAAGGATCAAGTGTTGGATTAAAAAAAAAGTCAGGTATAGTCATGGACCAAGATCCAGTCACATCCTCATCATTACTTCTGTGTGTTTCAAAACATCACAAGCTAAGGAAGAGACCAGCTCCTAATTTATTTGGGATGAAGTAATTGTCTTCTTAAGAAGTTTTCTATTATAATATTTAGGGGATAACTGATCTATCAATTATTATTTAGTGTCACCAGTGTGATTCTGAATTATCTCAATGTCATGCTACTATCTGTCCCAATTAACAGATTTAAATTCAGTGTTACTACAGCCACAAATATTAGCATCATAATTACAGTGAGGTTTAAAAAAAGCTTCATATAAGGAAAAGCCAATATTTATATAACTAGGTCAATACATACATATAATTCAGAATGGAAGCTCCACTGCATCCAGGGATGAGCACATTAAGACCAAGCAAAGCTCTACTGTAGTGACGTATTGATTTCACAGCCAGAGCTCTTGCATTATTATTCATTGTTTGGGTACTTGTTTTGCCCTTCTGTGTCATTAGGCAAGATGAATAAACTAGGGATTCCTTTTTTTTTTTTTAATAGGGACTGGAGTGGAATGTGAATATATTAGTCATGGTTTTATACCTCTTGTTAAGCTAGAGCTTAACAAGGAGCTATGAGGAATCTAGGCAATTAAAAATACCTTGTTTTTTTCCAAGATAACTACATAAATTTGAGCTTTAAGGGATTTACTTTTCTTTTCTAAGCGTTGTGAGTTGGTATCTGGACAGGATTCATGAATAACTTTTTAAATATCTTCCTAAGCTATTCATTCGTGAACCAGGCATTGGGTCTAGCTTCTGGGGTTGCCATGGTGAACACAAATGTGCAGGCAGAGAGAATTCAATCTCCTGTCTGGAAGTCAGAGGATGCCAGGAGAGCAAGACTGCCTTCAACCAGATGCCACTTTAACACCAGAGGCAGAGATGTTCATAATAAATGTAACACTCCTAATGGATTGTGACCTTGTGTAAGAAGCGTCTGGAAAGAATTCAAGATCCCATTAAGAACCTGGCAATTATGGCTGCGGTAAAGGATCCAGTCACAATGGGTCTTGACATCTATGCAGAAATGTTAGTGTGCTGAAAAGGCCAGGTTGATGATAATTTGATACAATGATTGTTTTCTTAAAGAAATTTAATTAACTAAACTTATAAATTATACCAAACCTAGCTAAAGACTCATAAGAGAAAAACTAGTTTGGGAATTTATTATACTAATAGATTAAACAAAAAAAAAACAGTGATTTTTGAATAATCTTTTCTGCACATAATTGCAACACAAAAAAAGATGCCAAAAATTCATGTTTTTGCCCATGGAGGCTTATAGTCTTGTGGGGAAAAGATAGACAGTTGTGTTATTAAAAAAAAAAATAAGTGTAACTTTAAATCTTTGGTACATGCCGGACATGTGGTTCTATGAACTATGTGAAAGGAATGAAACCTGGTTATAACGTGAAGCCTCTGTGGAGGGAGGGTGAAGCATGTGGATTCATTTGGTAATATCTACTGAGTACTTGCTTTGGCACCAGGTACTGTTTTGAGCACTTCACAAATAGCAACTAGTTTAATTTTTACAACAGTCTCATGCAGCAGGCACTGTTTTCGCCCCTGTTTGTACAGAAGAGGAAACAGGTGCTGGAGGTTAGGCAATGTGTGGGCAGGGGAGGCCAGACAGCCAACCCAGAAGCCTCGACCCAAGGTATGTGATCAAGATCATTTGATGCACAGACTCCAAGCACCAACAAATCAATATTTAAGTTGTGAACAAAGACGATCAATCATATTACTACTTGTAAAGTGCATTAGGAGATGCTCTTCTTTACTTCCTTGTCATTTGGGATGGCTGATTACGTGCCAATTTTGCATATTAAGCAACTGGAAGCACTCAGAGATAGAATACACTGAGGGCAAGAGTCTGATAATGAATCAGAGTGGCTGGATGAATTGGAGAGGATTCCAGCTTCTTGTCACAAATATACTGGCTTTTTTTCCCTGAGGCAGGGGAATGACTTTTTCTCTCCACTACATATCTCTAGTTCATCTATCTTACAGATTATAAATTCTCTTAGTTTCACTAAGGAAAGAAGATTTTCTTTAAAGATAATTTTTTTTCTCTATTTTTAAGAAAATTGCTTGAGCTAGATTTTGTTGCTAATTTGCTTACTCTTTTACCAATTCCATTCACTTCTGGGTGTATCAGGTACTATACCAGAGGATGAATATACAGTGTGCACTATGCAATTTCTTCACACTTAGATGAGTCAAAAAAAAAAAAAGCACAACAAAAAGATACCAGGTGTCTTTTCTACCAATCTAATGGGAGTAAGCATAGGGCAGATTTAAATATTGGAAGCAGGACTAGAGAACAGTATTTGGTGTCAATGCTAAGCTAACCCTGAAGTCAGAATTATTTGTTTCCAGAAGTGATCTGTTTTCAAGGTAGCTATAGTCATGGCACATTAAAACACTTCTGTTCCATGCTATGCTTTTAATAAATGCTGCTGAATAGATAACTGAATAATCACTCTCATTCTCACAACACAGAATGAGTTTGGTAGAATTGTTCTCCACCATTCTAAGGATTAGAATAGGTGCAGATGGACTGATTTATTCAAGGTAACATGGCTGTTCTCAAACTAGTTTTGTGCCACTCAATGGTGGTACTCACTGGCCCAGCACCATGCTCTTGGTCACTGTACCATCAAAGATTTGAACTCACAGTCAATTTCTGTTTTTGCTGCAATCTGGTAGATGACATTAGCCATGAACTTTTAAGATGAGAGCATTAAAGAACCATTAAATGATTGCATTTTCAGTGAGAGAGGAGAGTTAGTCAAAATATCTTGCTAACTAGAAAATTAAATTAATATTTGAAAAACAAACTAAATATTTATCCCACAGTATTCCCTAAAGTAAGTGTTTGCAGAAACCAAAGTCTTACGTATAAAGCATGAAAAAGTAAACAAAATGTATACATTAGTATTTCTTAATTTTTTTTGGAGGGGGTGGAAACCTGTAGGTATTTTAGGCAAAAATATATAAATGTTTAATAAAGAAAAGACCATCTATATAACACAAAACACAATAAAAAAAAGTAAGAGGACAAATTGCAAAGTGGGGAAAATGTTGCGTTTATATTATGTGGAGGAACTACTCTTTAACATAGAGTTCTTATGATCCATGTGAAACACACACATGGTCTCATAGAACAGTAGTGAAGAAAATATGGGTAATTATGAGAAAAAATTGATTGTAAGAAAAAATGAGTTTTACTGGGAAGCAAATAAGTACAATCGTAAACACAATGAGGTAGCAATTATCTATTGCCCCATTGACAGAAGCAGGACAGAGAGGGGAGAATAATCAGTGTTGGAAAGGAAAGCCCTTCTTCAGGGAAATTTGCCAAAATACATCAAAAGTGTTTAAAATGCACATTTACCTAGACATAATAATTCTGTTTTTATGAAGCAATTCTGGGGGAATAATTAAAAAAATGTGCACATATTTATTCACAAAATGTTAAACAGTGCATTGTTAGTGAAAAATTATAAGCCATTAATTGTCCATTAGTAAGAAATTAGGTTAAGAATATTAGGTGCATCCATTTATTTAAAAATACCATCCAGCAGTAGATATTTATTGATAGAGAAAAATGTATTTTGGTAGAATTTGTAGATACACTTTCAAGAGCTTTAAGGTTCTTTTAACTCTAATTGACTATGGCTATGTTTCTTTGAGAGTAGAGACTCCCTCATTAATTTTTATATTGACCTAGTAAGCTTTTAGTAATAATTGGGTGAATGAATAAATTAGGAGCTTAATCCAGGGCAGAGAATTGTAAAATTATAAAAACATGTTTCTCCTACTCAGTTTCTTTTAACTTAAAGAGAAAGATTACATTACAGAAACTCAGAA